TTTWWWATCTTTAATAYTTATTTTTCATCATGAGTTTTGTACTGTGAAGCGTTGTAGAATTTTACTATATAACGCTATGTAAATTGAATAAATTATTATTATTATTATTATTAGATATTAGAAGATCTTTGCCAGAAGAACCAATGGGGAGCCCCAGTATATACACTACATAGTACACTAGGACCACAAGACATGCAGCTCTTCTTGTATAAAGTAAGTGGAAAATTGTTGGGATTACTGTGTATTTTCTAATTCCCATAAATCTTTGGGAGCAGTGTGGAAGAAAAYATGCGATGTTTAAAGTAGCCGTAGTACCTTTTTAAAAAATGCTGTAAACACCACCAGAGTTATGAACTCGGAAACGTCTTTGAATTAAACAATTTGATCGTTGGTGAATAGATGCATAAGAAAGTATTTTGAATTTTTGAAGTCAATTTAATCAAATAAAATGTAAAATCAAATCCGTAACATATTCGAGTGATGCCTACAATTTTTTCAAAGAGAAATGATTTGKAGACTTTAAAAATGGAATCGATGAAGCAGTTTATGTAATTTGAAAAAGTGGATTTATTTTTGTGGCGAAAGGCCTTATGGGGCCTCTCGTCACTATATCATAGTGTTGAGTGACCGAACCATAACCATCCACTTGTAGCAGGCGTTCCTTGAGAGTTTAAGTTGAAATGTTGAAAAGAGAAAATCTCTAGAAAAAAAATGAAGTAATAACAGTAAAGAAAAGAAAAAAAAGAAAGAAGGAAAGAAAACAAGAAACAAACGAAAAAGAAATAATAAACAAGCGGAAAAAAAAGAGAAATTCCAGAAGCAGGACTCGAACTCAGAACTTTCACTTCAGGAGAAGATGAACCCCCCCGGAATACATAAGAAATAATTAAAATAGAAAAACTAAAAAGATGGGACGATTCCCCCGAGACATTCTATGAAGCTGAGGCGGCGAATCGGCTTACGTTACGGTTAGAGATTTCGGCCCTTCCACGCTATCCCGAGTGAACATAAAACTTAGTCTTAACCAAAAGGCCAGGGAGTGAGGGGGTAGCCGCCCACTAGAGCATACCTTTAGCTACCCTCTNGGTTGGGTGCCCAGTGCTGGTTTGCTGCCGATATACTCGATGTAGTGACGGCTTTCTCCGAGCTGTTCCCCAATTGTCGTTATTGTTTTCCAAATCATCACAGGAAAATTAGGTGTACAGTTCTTATATCAGACAGACATTAGTAGTATTCGGATAAACGTCAGGGCACAAATCTCTTGAAATTCTTAACTTAAGTGGTTTACAAATCTGAGATATTTGCTGGAATTCAGCGGAACACAATAAATGTTAAAAAGACCTAGAACGTTCCATGTACATTTTCGTTCTTGATGATAGAAAAGTTTACACATTATTGAATATAAATATAKTGAATGTTAACAATTGAAGAGGATGAAAACTTAGGAAAACTTAGGAAGCTTTCGCTTCTATTGCAAAACTATAATCAGGCAAATGATAGTAATTTTAAGACATGGATGTAACAATACAGTTTCGATAATAGAAACATTTTATCGAAGAAAACGTTCGAGAATTAATCATTAGTTTATAAGTCAACAGATACAGAAAGATGTCTTTTTATTACAGCTAGATTAAATCTCTTAGGACCGCTCAATGCCGTGGATAAAATTCATTTTCCGAGTCTTTCAGATGGATATATTTACTGTAGGCAGGGAAACAGCGCGCTCCGCGTCAGGCCCCACGGGAGAAATGATCAACCATCACAATAGGTTCCTTGGCCCCTGGGAGTCGACGCCTGTTGTGTATTCATAGACAACGTAATGGTTGGTCGCCACGTGATGTTTTCAGTTCCTTGCAGCGTATACAGATGATCCAGAAAACGTTGTATACTGAAGATAGTGCATTCGAAGTTTACATAAATCTATTAATGGCCTGAGTCGCATGCAGTCCTCGACTTGCCTATTTTTAGAATTTCTAATTGGCGATAAAGCAAATGAATGAATTAAATAGATAACTGAAGAAAACGACTCTTCAAAAACATGAATAAATGAATGGAAAGAGAAATGAATRAATRAATGAATGACAAAAACCGATKGATATAAAAAACCTCTCTCATATCTCTCAAAAACTGACCAGTCTCCTCTAATTTGCAGATTTCAATTCCAAGTYTGAATTCAACGTACCAACCGTCGAAATTATGTCGTAACGTCGACGATGCCAAGAACTACGCAGCTGATTACGCATTACAGCAGCTTAGCGTTCCGTTAGATGGTATGTCTAGGTAATGAAACCATATATTACGTCACTCACATCACGTGAMAGACAAACAGACATCACGTGACAGGCAGACAGACATCACGTKACAGACAGGCARACAGACGCCATTTGTAGAACAAGTGAGCACTAGGAAATGACGTAAAGAAAGAGATTTTACAACAAAATATGTATGCTGATTTATCTAAATATTCCACCTATATTTTCCGTTTTGTAATGTAATTGTTTAAACGCCCTTAAAAYCTGCGAAGTAGCTGGAAACTCGRCGTGTTAAAAGATAGGTGTGTAACCAGAATAAACCCAACAGGTTTTCAACTTCTATTGATATTCCATTTACTTGTAGCCCATAAAAAGCTGTGATCTTTCATTATTTTATGTACATTTTTTCTTATCCTATAGCCCAGGACCTCCCGGTCACTACTGTAGCCCAGGTCCCTACTTCAGTAGCATACCAAGCCCGACCTATGGCGCCAGGCCAGGCCTACAGTATCCACAATAGTGTACGACCAATGACAGACACTAATTCTTACACATCAGGATTTGTACCGATGACTCAAGCACCTACAAGTCCGGGGGGTGCAGTTGTAGCAAAAATGTGGCCAGGAGGGGTACCTCCAAACCAAGATGGTAATGTTTATAGTAATTACGATGGCTACCCTGAGGGGTACCCTCAGAATGTATATCAATATTAATGAATATTAGACGATATTAGAGTATTGTTTCAGATAGGAGTATYCGATAGTATAATAGTTTATAGCATGTTTTAACCTTTCTCAAAGGTTTCARAAGTAAAGCTTAGAAGATCGAAAGTACTTCGAATGTTGAACTTTGATCTCTTGAGATCCTAGATGTAGAGTTTCTATGTTTTAGGGTGGGGAGGGTAAGTAAGTTACGTTTTGTCTCATTTTGAAACAGGGAGGGGAGGGATAGTATTGAATGTTCTTTAGMATGTTTTAGTATTGAAAACCTAGTGTGGATTTTTTCCATTTTAGTATAGTTTATCGCATAGAAAATCGTTGCAAAACGAGAAAAATATGATGAAGATTGTTTTCACTAATGGACAGTTCATAAATGAATACCATTCCTACTCGTCTACAGTATTATGCCCGTCATATTTTGTCTTAGAAAACAATGCRAGAACAAGAAAGAATCCAAGGAACAAAAGATATTGTTAATTCTGAATGGATTATCATTCCATTCCATGTCTAAATGGGAAAGAAAATTGAATTACTGAGAAAAATTGCGAAAGCGCTATTTATAAGACCATTTACAGACATACATGCACACAGTCGTTAACAATGTATTTTATTCAAACGTCCGACAGCAGGGACATTTGGCCAATGTACGAATTGAAAACTACGAGGAAAAGAGAGAAAAAATATTGGTTTGTAAAATGTGTCGTTAGAAAAAAGCTATTTATAGTGATGTTTTTACGCTGCGGTTGTCATTGCATGAAAAAAATACAATTAAATTCCAACTGTATATAGTCCTTGACTGAAGAATAGTCACGTGATTCATCGTGACGTAATCAACCACGTGACTGACTCACAGACCACGTGACAAGCATACAACTGCAGCATTTTTACAACATTCACTTCTGTTTATAAGTGTTAATGAATTCACGGTGTATTCACTAATGTTGTCAAGTTGCACYATGTGTGGCTTGCTACAGGAAGGCGTTTCTCTTATTTCGTAACACAAGCACAACCCATTCTTTGTAAATATATTTTTCGTTGTCTAGTTTTAGTTTAACTGTGCACACGAGCTGTCATGGCCGTGTTTTGCAGTGAATCTATGCACTTTTAAAATTTCATAATCTGGACTTTATTGCCGTAATGTTCACATGTTATTACCCAGAGGCCTTTGTAAAAACAAATCAATCAAAACGAAATGCAMAAAGAAGTATCGACAGAAAATGCCGCTTTTTACGATATTTTTTCCAAAAGAGGCRAAGTTACTTTGGGTAATAGAAGTGAGTTATCTTCTAATATGAATGCACTGAAACATTATTTTAGTTTATCAAGTTTTAAAACAGAGAATTTAAAGATTTTCAAAGTTATCAAACAAAGGAAATATATATTTGTTTTATGGAAACAGCAAAAATACTTTGAATTTATCCGGTGCCAAAGACAGGTGTGATTGAAGAGTAAATTGGATCAAATTGATCTTGATTAGGTCGCTGAACAACAATAAGACAGAAAGCTATTAAAACAATAAACAATCCACGATAAACTCGATGATATCTTTCCTGAAGTCTCTTAAGACTTAAGCTTATCTGCTGTCTTTATTTTTCAAAAGCTTGAATTGAGTGGCAGTCTTTTATCTTTAAAGATAACCTTTAAAATTCAAAAAAATTGTCTTCTTTATGCAATGACTATTAAAGGAGTCGACATTGCTTAAAAACAGGAAWGTTTTCRTTGAGCATATCGTGGATTTGAGGTATTGAAGCGAAGTTAGGAGAGAGACAACCAGCTTAAGGTTTTCGATGTGGCGTCTACAAATCCATGCATTTCATTGAAATATAGTAATCTTAGAGTTCGATAATTACGTGTTTTTGTGATATTGAGTAATTACAGTTAATGTTAGTAGACAATAGATTATAATCGTTATAAAACATAAAATTCAAAATTGATAAGCTTAATTGATACACCTACTTGCAGAAACGTTGTCATAGAAAATAGAACATTCGAATTTAGTAAAAAGGAATTAATTAAAACAAGACAAAAGAAAGCGTTCAGCCTCAGTGAYCTTCTTTTGTCTTTTTAATTTATTTCTTTTTACTAAAATACAAATGTCCTATTTTTTATGACAACGTTTTCGCAAGTAGGTGTATATAAATATGAATGCATATCAAAGAATTGCGTTCCAAAAGTAATCTTACCTTACCAATGAGCAATCTTAAACCACTGTKTGATGACTTCCCTGACTTTTAGAGTTTTAAAATGCCGAAAACTTACAGCGATTGTAGAAAGCCGACTTGTCGGCCATATTGTATCCTAAGAAACCTGGCCTTCAATTAAAGCACAGGTATACCGTGCTAAGGACAGCAATTCTTTGATGTGCCATTAGGCTCCATAACGTGATTCTCAGACGGACAAATAGCAGACTTTAAAGTTTGCGCRTACGAAGCTCTCATTGCTCAGCTATTGAAACTCAAGATCGACGRGCTCCCTGTGTTTTTCAGGGGGAGTTACCCGATCTTGCTTATTCTAGTTCGTAGTAGTCACTGTTCAGGACCATACATATTGATATCTATAAGTTYTAATAATCATAAATATAATCAATGTAATACGGTACAATTAAACAATAAATAAGTATTTGGTACCGCAAACTCGTTGTATTTGACTTCTTTTACTCGGGCCAAACCATAGAAGGCCTCAATATATTGAMTTTCTCTCCGGTCAAATATGTACCCTCTACAAATTTGTCCAAAGCAAAGGTAGAAATGCCAGTCACGCAAAAACAAAGGTACATAATTTACCTGGGACCCGTAGAGCACGGCTCGAAGCAGCTCGCAACATATCCTAGTTCAGCGCGACCTAAAGCTTGTCAAATTCAAAGATATTGAACCCCTGTAGGCCACCTTGAATGCCAAATGCCGTCACAGTGTAGTTCGCAACATCGCAAAMCCTTTCAAGCCAACTTATAATACAGCGGACAGCTTGGAGACTTGTCAAGGGTCAGTAAATACACGTGAAAAACGGAACAACTCGTTTGCTCACATCTTTTAATATCTAAACCAAGAAAAAAAATTAAAAAAATCTCCTTTACAATTCTTCAAAACGGTTCTATCACTTTCTAGCACAGGTAGCCCAAAATATGAAAGCACAAGTCAAACACAGGAAGCCCAAATTAAGTTTCTTAAGGCCCCACACACGAAGCCCAAGGCAATTGCTAGCTTATTGAAAGAAATCATAATATATCACAAAACATTTGATCTGATAYTCAACCATACTCGGTGATCGACCTTTATAAAGGATAACTTCCCATATCATAAATTATTTCAAATTATTTACAAATATTATCTGCAAAATTCAATATCAATATTTTCTAAACCAAAGCAATTTTTTCTTAAAATCAATATTATTATTTTACATCATCAATTTATATGATGGATGATTATATTTTCTTAATTMAGCACCAGTCACCACCCTTCCATAAACGAACAAGGTGGTCTGAGCACCAGTAAGGCATATTTTCTTTTTGATCATGTGACTGATCATCGATTGATTATGAATCTCTTGATACCATTCTTTTATCTTTTACAAATGGACAAAGAAGTCTGGGACCCAACTGCATTTGATTCCCATTGTCATAGACCAGCCTTCTATCGTCTAAGAATATACAAGTAGGCCGTTGCTATATTTATATAAGTGATCCCATTACGATCATAAATTTGAGCCCACTGTCTTTACAAGGCCTGAYGCTACAGATGCCTCTTGTATCTAAAGATATACAAACATGTTAATATACTGATATTGGTCTTCCTGTGGTGCAATGAGRGAGACTGSTGCCCACCTGTCGCAAGTACTCTTGACATTCCTGTTTAGCACCCATTAAAAGTTCAGCTTGTCCTTTAAGTACACGGACATTCCATGCAAAGCTCTCAAGAGCCTGGRAACRAAATAAAACAATACTACTAGTTTCAGATCTCCTCAACATCAGTGGAAAGTGAGGGATTGGGGCAAAGTATCAATCAGTATTAATTTAACCAACACTATTTRGTAGTAATTAGTAYTATTTGCTTACCTTAGTTAACCTCTTGCCCTTCAGYCCCTCCTTAGTGCAAGTATTGTACAGATCTTCCTGTTAAACAAGATACATRTGAATTTATGAAAATAGAGAACTACATTGTTCAGTACAACAACGTGGCATTCATCCTCAGAAACCGAAGCTGTTGAGTGGGGCTTGGGGAGCTCAACAGCCCCTGGGTTTTCGAGAGAGGTGTAACATTAACTAGTGCATGCAAATATTCAAGAGACTGCTAAATGGAAATTAGAAAGGTCTAAATTATTTTTTTAATAACTTACATGCCATTCTAACCCTGACCGCTGACAATGCATWATCTGAAATAATGTCAAAAGTTTAGACATAAATATCACATTATTTGAACCTGAACCAAGTACTCAAGATGATGTTTTACCCGCTCATATATGGCATCTCCGTTTTCAATTAAATTCCTGGACTCTTGCACAATCTGAGACAAAAACAATTAAGTGGAATTAAATAGCAATATTTCAGCGTCACAGTTATGCCATTTAGTTGACATGGGCACAAACGTGTTTTTTTCTTCTGCTTGTTTGATTCATGTGTTGTTTTCATCTTTATTAGGTGTTCTTTTCATTTACCTGATCTATAGCTGATAATGCTCGTTTTAACATCTCAGGGACATTACCACTGACCTCAAAGGAAGGGTATTGCTGYAGCAGAAAAAACTGAGAGTTAAAATTGACCAACAGCAGCAAAAATAAAAATGCAGAATCGRCCATCATTATTGAACTCATTTATTATGAGAAAAAGGTTCTTACMTCTTCCTTCATGACCAATTCGAGTGATATGGACTCATTCTCCAGTCGACTTGACAACAATCGTACACATTGTTTTAAGTTCGCTCGTGGTGCAACCCCGCATATTTCCTGATATATACATTTAAAAGGAAAAGTTGGTTTAAGAGCTACAGAGGCAGAAACGTCGACCTGGGCATGTTGGGACAAAACGCAGTGCATGATAGAGGAAAAACTAACCTTAAAGTTCGATAACGCTGTTAATAGGTTTTCTCTTAAATCAGCCCCATCTCTTAGTGGCTGTATTGCTGTCTAAATGATAATGATGAATACATAATGTCATAGAGCGGATTTCGTATGAGTGGGAAACGGACGGTACTGTACTGTGACCGTAATCGTACTGTAACCAAATTCTAGTGTCTCATTGGTTCACCAAAATTGTGCAGGCCAGGTCCGGTAACTGTGCGCTAACCGTGCGGTAACGGTGTCCCACTCATACGAAATCCGCTCTAATCATCACAATATCATTAACATTAACTATAAAAGTGTGTAAATAGATGAATATATGGTATGCTTACTTTGAATGTCTCGTCTACTGACTTGACGCCTACAGTTTTCATGCTTGTATACTAAAAAAGTCAGTAATGCTCAATTAGAACACAGTACGCATGGTACGGTACGGTACGCATCGTGCGGTAAGATTTACGGTACAGAACAATGCGATACGGCATGATACGGTACGGTACAATACTATAAGGCACGATATAGTACTTCATAATACGGTACGAGTTGATACTGTATGTTGCGGTACGATACGGAGCGGAACGACAGGATACAACAGGGTACGTGGTAACGCACGTCACGGTCGATTTACGTGAATAAAACGCTACAATATACCTCTCGTCCTTTTTTGGATTTTCTGAGTGAGTGCTTCCTTTGCTTTTGCTATAAAAAAAAGATACATTGAAAAAAAACCATTCGAGACGCTGCTCACATTAACTTAAAGCTAGTATTAACGTGCCATATTCAACCTGCATCCCTTACAAGATTCCAACCGTTGGACAGGGTTCATGCTACATTTTCACTACAAAATGCACAAAAATGCGATTTTCAAGGAGTATTTTTGAAGATTTTTTTTATCTTGCCGACGTTTAAAGTGGCGATTTTCAAAAATAGCCACATTTCAATCCAAAAGCCAACAAGCAACATGTCAATTTCATCAGGTTCAAGGAGTTTTCCAGGAGTTTTAGCAATTTTCCACATTTTCAAGGGCTTTCAAGCGCCCTTGAAAACGAGTTTTCAATTCCAGGACTTTTCAAGGACTTCAAGGAATAGCACGAACCCTAGTTAGAAACGGATTACGAATAGAGTTTTCCTTTTCCATATATGAAAAATCAAAAATACGACCGCACTGAATGACGGTACACCTTAGACCTTTATGATTTTAGTACGCACCCCAGCTTCATTAAAACTTGATATAGTGATGTATACGAATAATGTMGATGACTCTAGGGGTTCACCAGATGATGACACCAATGGGATGTGACGATATCCAGGTAGCATGCACTCCATGGGTATCGTATATTGACCAATAAAGGCATCACCAATGAAGTCATCGTCCTGGACTAGGAAGCGGACTAACGCTAGTTCAGGTAAATTGATGTGGAACTCGAACGATTCGTCGTATAAAGGATTGAAACCTGTTGAACAAGAATTTCATTRMATGACTGATTGCTTGATTGATCGATTACTAATTGATTGTTTGGTTTATCGATTGATTGACAGGTTGATTACTGATTGATTGGTTGGTTGTTTGGTTGGTTAATTGATTGATCGATTGAATGATTGATTGATTGATTGATTGATTGATTGATCGATTGATCGATTGATTGATATATTGATTGATTGATTGATTAAATGATTGATTGACTGATCGATTGATTGGTCGATTGATTGATTGATTGATTGATTGAATGATGGACTGATTAAATGATTGAATGAAAATGTAGAAAGAGAATCTGTTAGGTGAAGAAGCGTAGGAATGCGCGTTAATTACAAAGATAAGATGGAAAAGTAAAAAGTAAATGAATGAGAGAAATAATGGGAAGTTACCATTATGTGGCACTGTTCTCGTTCTTTCCTGCGCAATGTCGGATGGAATACCGTATACTTCTATGGTAACGTAAGGATCGATGACCTACAATACATAAAACAYGCCATTACTCGTGGATTAACATGTTTCCACAGYCAATTGGAGTACGCATCAGTTACTTACGTCACCCTTAGCGGTGGATCCTTTTGGYTTAGGAAACTGCTGACCACTGATGATCTACCATGAAAAAAAATAATTATTGAAGATTGAATACATAAGAACAACTCTCGACTTRAGGAGGTCTTCAGTGATTAATATACCTTGATCTGTAATATCTGTGGTGATATTCCAGGAATTGTATCTTTGGTRTGAGGGTTAAAATACGCTATTTCTGGAAAAAGAATGAGTGTAGTTTGTCGATTAGTTGATATTTGATCAACTTTAACTAGATTCATAAGAAAGCCGGAAGATTGGTAAATAATATGAGAAACACTTACCATCTCTCAATACTGATGGTTTCAATACATAACCACATTCTCCATTTTCCAGGAATTTTCCAGTATTAAGGTGCATCATWATACCAGGTGTTTGGTAATTTAACGCGACTAAACATTTCAAACAATATCGTTAACAAAAKCCAATGCTCACCCCCATAAAATCCATTCCAAATTCCCAAGTCCTTACCCATTTGACATCCACAGTTCCACATTTCCTGAGGATTATAATTACTCGACCCAACCCTTTTTCCAGAAGGATAAACACGGCTCAGCCATGTTTTGTTGTAGTTCACAAGTTCTTCAGGACATGATGTYGCTAGGCGACGAGAAACTGCCTCACTGAACGAACACATTTCCCAGAATTGCTCTGTAATGAGATATAATGAACATTAATTACCAGGCAGTCCAGGAAATAGGAGAAGAAGGACGCCTCTCCCTCTCTTTGCTCTCCTCTCCATTCTCAGGCTTTTTGTCTTCTTCAAAAAGCACATACTGAGCCCTACAATGAAGGAGTGCCTGCGGAAGAGGCTAGGAGGATATATCTTCTAAGAGTGAGTATTTCTTTATTAGTCAAAATGGTGTAGACTAGTGTAAGCTGCATCGGTATTTCTAAATGAAACAGTTGTGTAAAAAGATAAATTTAACATCGATAAACAATAGGTAAAACAGCTTACTGACGTTAATCCTTTGTCGGAGTCTTTCTTTAGTCTTTACTCCGACGAATGGTCAACGTCCGAAACGTCATTTAGTTGTTTCACCTATTTTTTACGGTGTTAAATTTATCTTTTTACACAACTATTTCTTTATTATCTTAGAGCCAGGTAGCACCGCTCGGAACGGGTCTCATGATAGGTTGAGAAAACAATGGACAAACAATAGATAAGCCTTCCAACAATATAACAAAACCTAACCTAACAATAGTGGTGCTGTACTTAAGGAGCAATCAAAAAGCAGGTTTCAATTGGTACTGCATTACTGTTATCTTACGGTTTTCTGCGGTATGTTGAAAGTCCTGGAATGCCACTGACTTGCAGTAAGTAACAAGGTCTGACAATTCACGTGCCAGCTTGATCGTCTTCTTGGGATTCTTATTCAAATCTTGCTACAACACGCATAAATATAACGAATAAACAATATGCAGCTTATAACTCAAATGTAACAAGTCTTCATTGACAGGATATTTTGTAGACTTTTCTTTTCTTTCCTTTTCTTCTGTTGTTTTCACGCTTACAACTTTTCCCTTTCTTCTTTTCTCTTCTACTCCTATTCTTTTGTTCTACTTCCCTTTTCTCCTCTCTTTATTTCGCAATTTATTATAATTCATTGTTTCTCTGGTCTTTTCTTCTTCGAGCTTTCGGCCCCTCTACGTTGTTTGTTTTAGCACAAAACTCTTCGTTCTCGACTTATGATGCTATTACCTCGCCTATACCTTGAGTCTCCTATTCTTCTCGACAAGCAACCTAGCCACCATCTTACCCTGATCCTCCTATTCTAATAAATAACCTAGCCCATCATCTTACCTTGACGTTCTGTCTTTTAAAGCTTCCCTGTCTGTTATTTTGCCGTTCAAACTTGGTGTAATCACCGTTAATTACATTGCTATCGTCTTGGTCCTCGTCGTCTTCGCTTACTTCCCCAGCCTCGGTATCTTCGTCCGTACTGGGAGGTAGCTTTTTATTCTAATAAAATAACATAGGAATGCTGTATGAAATGGCGTAAAGACGAGAAATGATAGAAGTCAAACGACCAGAATTTCTTGACACTATTTGAATTGAGTGATATTAATGACTTTCTTCGCTAAATAGCAAACCTCAGTATACCGGAACCCCCTCTAAACCGGAATTTTTCATCGGTCCCAGCCGTGTCCGGTATAGAGGGGTTTCACTGTATAATAATGTTGGCATCACTATCATCATAATCATCGATTATCATCATCATCATCTACCTTGATTAATATTTTTTCTCTTAACGCTTCAGGTGACGGCAATCTTGTTTCGTTTTCACCAGGTCGCGTCGTATATAACTTTTCTGGAAAGAATATAACAGAATGAAGTCATCCAGCCATAACCATAGTCTCATGCGCAAACAACTCTACTCTCGGGACCCCTGTGTCGAGACAAAGACATTAACCTCGGGGAGGATGCCGGGGCCGAAGAGGTTGCTCTCGGTATCAGGTCTTCTCGATTTGATTATCGACACAGGCAACCCAGGAAAAAGTTTCTAAAAATTGCCTGATAGATCTCACCTCCTAATATTTCTTTAAGGTACTCTGCCATAACTTTCTGCTGTTTAACACTACAGTGATTTTCTATCGATAAGATKAGAGGATACCTGTCGACAAAATACAATCATATGAGTAACGAGCCTTTGAACTTTGAATTAGTTATTAATTTTTTTTAATCATTTACGTTCATGTTTGTTTCTTCTTCTTCCCATCCATCCATTCATTTATTAATCTTTTCGTTTGTCCATCCATTTATTCACTATCTATTCATTCAGATACTTAATATCATGTCATTTATTCAACAAATCATCGCTTTATTAACCAAAATGCCTGTTCTATATAGTATATACATTATTCACAACCTCATAAGAACGTGCACTGTCATTGGCTGGCTATAAATATAAAACTTACGGACTTGCTTCAAAAGCATACTCCTCAATAGTTTCCACAGCATCTTTGAATAAGATCTTGGACGTTAGAGTATGACCATGGTATATTACAGGCTCATCATTAGTCCCATCCCAACAATCCACTAAAAGGAAATAGTAAGAATGCTATGATATTATGTCTAATTCTCGATGTCAATTGCGAAAAACTTTCACGTTTTTTATGCCATCTTATGGATGGGACGGCATTCTACAGAAAACTGAAAAGAAAATGACTGAAAAAAAAAAAAAAAAGAAATAAAAAAAGAAAGGAGAGGGAGAGACAGCATAGATTCCAGACAATAAAATAACCACCAGACACTTACTTACGTTCTACACACTGAAATAACGATCTGAAGTTACCTCAATCCACTTGCTATTAAAAGATGTCTGACTGTAGAAAGGAGGGTATGGGAAGAGAGGAGAATAAAGTGAAGTAGTGTACTTACATTCCACACAGCGACACCCTTGTTGTAGCGCTATGGCATATCCCTCTACACTCGATCGTCCGCTTAACTGATTATCTAACAAATATCTAAAAACAATGAAATAACGTTATTAATGCCATAATCTGTGCTTCTGGTTCTAGCAGACTTACGTAAGATGCTAACGTTTACGTGAAGATGCACATGCTTACGCATTGTGTGAAGAGCCTATAAAGGACTTGTTCATTGCATTAAACGCAAGGATTTAACGTATCATGTGAGRATRCTACAAAGGGCTGGAGATGCTATATAGCGTGACTTATCTATTACGTAGCAAATGCGCAAGGACTTACGTATTGTCCAAAGAAACTATAAAGGACTTAAGTATCACGCAAAGATGCGAGAATTCTACAAAGAGCTGAAGATGATATAGAGGGAATTATACATTACGTAAGGACGCAAGGACGCAAGGACTTACGTATTATGTGAAGATGCTATAAAATAATGAGATAAAGGTTGTTCCATGTCCTGCCATATTTTAGCATGGTCAGGATCGAAGATTTCACAATCGCTTTCCATAAGGTACTGCGTAAATCAAAAAAACGAACAAATCAATGAAAACAATTGTATTAATATTACTGGTAATGTCTGGTATTAAGAGAAATGGCGTGCGGTCCGTATTTCACGGTATTACGATGATTACAATTGAAGGAAAGTACCTGTCAACTATGCGTTCCGTTTGCGCATGTTATTCGCACAACGCACGCGCGTAAAAGAGACACGATAATGGRCGTGTACTGTACGTGTAACGTAATAAGTTGTTCTAATATAAAAAGACAATTACAGTAATAAACGTCGATAAAAACAGCTCTGAATGATCTTGGGTACAACTCTTTGTCGTTATATCATTCTATGACAAGAACTCGAGCRRTTTTCTACGCWAGTTGKCAAATAAGCAAGTCTTACCATCAATTCCTAAACACTTTTTCCGTCGGCCTTCTTCCGTAGGTTCACATCTATTAATGATTTCTAAACAATCTTCTTTGCCGACTCGAGAAAGCTACATAATAAAATAATAATTAGCACTTAATGGTCATACCCTTTAACAGCCTCCCTACTTTTATCCCCTCCCCCCTCCCCCTAATTTCCTACCCTCTATTCAACACCCCTACACAGGGTAAGTCTAMTACCAAAATGTACGATTTCTTTTTTTGGATTCATGTTGTCAAACAGCTGAATTCTGAAAAATAGACGTCTCTCCAGGCTAAAGAGACAGGAATCCCAAAAAACAGATAAAAAATACAATATTTTCGTCGTCAATGGACTTACTCCTTGTTCTGCTTCTAAAAACAATAGSAGATCATCCGTTGTGAGAGAGTCGTTATTACTTGCATATCTAAAAACAAAATTAAGTAGTTATAACATAATTTCACTTTCTCTTATCACAACTTAATCYATTCTTWTTTCCATTTTTTCATTTCCTAWTTTTCTACTWAACTAGATTTTTYCTGATACTCTATTTTAATATAATATTAAGTTTATGTCACCACTAATTCATTTTCTATGAATAATCTTTATTTTGATAAACTATTCCCCTTGAATTGTGATTTTTCATCTAATTTCTATTTTGACTAGCAATCTATTATGTCAATTTTTCGATTTCTTCTCATTTTCATTTCTTGATGTAAAGATCTCACCTTGCTAAAAGGAAGTACACCTCAGGCCTTGTTGTTAATTCTTTGTAAAAAGACAAAAATTCTTCTAAAGATAAACTATTTTTCTGTGGAGCAGAGCTGACTGCTGTTGCTTCCTGTGAACAAAAAATTAATTTTATTTTAGCTTAATTGAAAAAAATCATTGTACATTGGTCGTAATTAAGTGTCGGTGATAGCGAGTGTCCGCTGTAACGGGGGTTATACTCAGTACGGTTAACTCTCGTTATAAAGGGCACCTTCGGGACAGTAATTAAGTGTCCGCAATAGCGAGTGTCCGCTGTAAAGGGGGTTATTCTCAGTACAGTCAACTCTCGTTATAAAGGAAACCTTCGGGACAGTAATTAAGTGTCCACAATAGCGAGTGTCCGCTGTAGAGGGAGTTTTTTTCAGTAAAGTCAACTCTAGATGTAACCGACAAATTCAAGGTCGTAATGAAGTGTCCGCAATAACGAGGGTCCGCTATAGAAGGAGTTATTTTCAATACTGTCAACTTTCGCTATAACGACCTTCAAGGTCGTAATTAAGTGTCCGCTAATGTGAGCTGCATTTCTTACCTTAAATTTTTGTTTCACAACACTTTCTGGTATATGAGCGTTAAGTTGCTGTAAAACAGTCAACACCTCTTTCTCGTTTAGCCTTCCTTTTCCTCCCATGTCAGCCAAAACAAACTGTTCTTTTAACCATGTAGAATGTTATTAAGGGAAAAAAAAACTATTCAAAACGTATTCCTTTTAAACTATGAAAGTCCTCTCCTAAACTGTCAATCTATTTCCTTTTCCAACACTCAAAACCCCCGCCCCACCCCTCCATCATATACACCTTMCTCAGTTTTGACATGCATCATTACAATGAGCACGTGGGGTCCTACAAYAAATGTAAACATATTGTTGGTGCATTTAACGGGGAGTCTATATAACTCCACAGGAAGCCCACCTATCACCACAAGTAACCCAACTATCACCACAGGGAGCCCAGAGAGTCATAATATTTGTACTTTGAGCTCAGCAGGTAAGCAAGATTGGTATTCACTATAAATGACAGTTAATTATCATACAGAAAAAATGTTTAACATCTGCCCTGTCGAGAAAAATTAATAACATTTCGGCCTAGAATTTTAACATTTTAAACTTTTTCACAAGTTTAAAGTATGTATTATTGATTAATTTCTATTAAGGTATGGACACTGTAGACTCAGTAGAGAAATAATGAAAGTAGACAGCTGGTCTAGCAAAAGTAGACTGAGGTTCTGTAGTTGCAGTTACAAGAAACTTGGAAATTATTAGCACTTAACCAGCGCTTTCCATCCGCTACTGGCTACAGATAGTACACTAAATGATAATAATTATCAATAATAATGATAATAATAAATAATCATAATCATAATTATAATCATAACAATAATAATAACAATTTAGTCAATGATTGTGATGACTTTTGTTCAGCACTGWAAATTATAACACTTCCTATCAACGACCAAATACGATTATTCCACTAAACACATACGCAAAAATTTGCTTGTCTGAATAACAATAATGTCGAACACAAGTCTGCATGCTAAGAGTTTACCACTAACTGATCAGTTTTAAGAGTGAAATACCCTGTTGAGATCCTTTTAAAACATTAAAAGCACTTCACTAGAGTCAGTTTTTGTTCCCATTAACYGAGAAAACTATCAAATGCATTATTAATGTGATGCCCGGTGGAGGAAAAGAAAGAGACAGCCATTCATACATTGACAACATGACGGGAATATATCTCACACATATTGCACATGCTGGCATTTCAATATCTTYGAACAGACCTGATGACAACTTAGCAAATTTATAATTTCATAGTCTAACCTGCACTGCAGTATGAAAACAATGTGATCATTTTTAAACTAAGATGTTTCAACATTGCTAGGAATCAAATTTGAAATCAGGAGTCAAATTGATTTTAATCAATTGGTATACACCTGCCTTGCCAAACCTCCTTTGCATGAAAAAAAAAACTATTAAAAGACAAAATCAAAAGACCTCATTATTGTTTAATACCATACATTACCTAAAGTTATACATACAGCAATATGAAGAAATTATGATCATTTTGACTAATATTCCAAGTGTAAATAAAATATTTCACAGAAATTGTGGGATTTCATCACCCATATTTTTTGGTTGTTACAAGTACATTCCGAAAAAATATATTGGCAATGACATACCATAATTTCTGATATATTCTAAATATACATGTACTATAAATGAGTCAGAACCATCAGAATGTCTGCATATTGCTATTATAATTTATCATCTTGACAGTCGACTAGTAAATCATACTTTTTGAAATTTGAATTTACTATCTTCATAAAACGTTTAGTGGAAAAAAGGTGGATTTGACTATAAAAATCCAAGAAACTATACTTTATAAAAGAACTCAATAAAGGCTGGTCAAAATTGAGTGACGGTTATCACAAGGTAATGAAAGTATCAATACTCATTTCAACATTAAAAAGGATATCTATCTCTTATCTGTTGCCGTTGTTCCACAGGACTTCGAGCTGCAAAAGTAAAATGTCAGTAAATTCATGATCTTAAAACAGTCTGCTCGAATACAGAAATTGAACTCACTAATTTGTAACAATTAATTCAATATAAGAAATAATAGCATCAAAACTACTTCCAGGTAAAAATACACTCTTCCTTCCTGGAAAAACGCCATCCATTCTAAAAATACCACTCATCTTTCCTGGAAAAATACACTTCCTGGAAATATACCCCTATTTGGTCATACTTGCTTCCTGGAATTTACATACCTTTATCAGAGTCAATAAGACATCGTAATCCAGTAACCCAGATATTCGCCTCATCAGGTGAAAATGCAACAAGATTCAAAGTTTCAAAGCTTTCACCATAAATAATTGAAAAAGCACAATCTTCCTGAATATCATCTCGATCCATTTCACGGAACACTTCAGTTGTCTTTCCTGTCCGCACTTCTCGTATGCTATCAACATCAACTGTAATCAACAAAAGCATAAATTAATGCCTTGATGCATGAATTTGAATAGATTATTTATACTAAATAATGCATAAATTATAATAAATTTCATATTTTTTATTAAACAGAAATTTGACAAAAAATATTTAATATTTTGTTTTAGATAATAATTCTCTTGTTTATAAATTGCTTCATAAGACTCTCTTTTGTTGTTTTTTTATTAACTTTAAAGTACTGTTTTTTCTTCTATTTGTATGATATTTGTGGTAGTACTTGTTATTTCCTGTTCTAAATAATTGTATGTTGATGTTAGACCTCTCTATCTCTACAGCAAATATCATAAGCATTACCAAATATCAAGCACTGACTGTCCGTCCCCACCCACACAACTCTGCTCTTCAGCAATAATATCATTGTATGAAGCACACAATAGCATCAGAAGTAATCAATAAATGTTCGGAGGAATTTGTAGCTCAATTTAAATTACAATAATCAAGCACTTCTACGAAACTATACTTTGGACAATAAACATACTATTAAAACAATAACGTTACCATACACTGTAAGATTAATTAGCATACTACACAGGATATTATTGAGATGAAAGAGATTATATTTTCTCAACCTCACATGTAGATAATTTACAAACTCACATTTAAAAACAAAACTTAAGGTAATAAAATATTTTTGATATCAATTGAAATTAAATGTTTTTGTACATTTATGTTTATTAAAGTTTAAAAATAGTCATAACAAAGATAAGMGTGCAAACCATACTTACTGCGGAATAACTACAAAGTTTTTAGCGTGTAATAGTATTCAATTGTCTACTATAATAATATTTTTATTAAAGATTTGAACGACAAGCATACATAACACAATTAACATTAGTTTTTGAACTGTTTTCTTTGGGTGATTTCGACCTGTACTAAGTACAGTCCAATTACACAATACAAGTTTAATTTTTTGGATATACGCTAAACAATAATTCATAATTAAGAAACAAATTAACAAGTCGTAGATTTCATGGATAACTCATTAAGTGATGGGAGGAAAATGATTCCCTTTTTTTCCTTTGCTAGAAATATTTTAATTAAAATAAAAATCCCACAAGAGATAACGAAACATCTTTTTTATACTTTTCCTATGAGCTACGAAACACAATAATCCTGTTTGATGTGCATAAGGAAATTAATTTACAGGAAAATGTCTTTGAGGTTGGAAAAATATTATTGAATCTACACCCCCACATGATGAGATCTGACAAGAAGCCTTTGTGGATGACATTTCTTTAATTATGGTTTTCAAATTATTGTCACTCTGAAAGTGAAAGATAAACACCCACCAAAACCTGATGTAAACTTCTTGAATAAATTTATTGAAAAACAAAAAGACCAAAATGAATGTCAATGAAAGAATAAAATAGAGGAATTAGAATAATCAAMCAAGAATGTGTGTATTATAACAGCATCAAAATTTATCAACGTTTGAATTTTCAAAATATAATTATATAACCAATTCACATATTTAAAATTTGCTTTCTGAGGTATTATAGGAGAATGAGTAATTGGGCCTACAAGTTATTGCATTTCATGATATTAAACATGATCATATAACATTGTCTAAAGTATTACTTACTAATAATCATTAAATACTAATATATTAATTAATAATTCTTAATTTTCCTTATTTCCAAGTCTGCAAGGTAGGATTAGTGCATATGTTAATCATAATCCTCCAAATCATGGCAGAATGCAAAGCGCATTACATATTAGATTCTAAACAATAAAATATTTTTATTTTCTTTTTGATATAAATTCTCAACTTACTTGAATRAAAACTATAAAAATGATTCTCAAGAATAGTGAACTTTGAACATTAATTATAGCTTGGAATTMTTATAGCTAATAACACTTTACTTACGACAGCTGGGTAAACAATACTGCTAAAAACAACAAGTTTTATATTTTTTTTGTAAAACACATTTAATGCATCATTATTTTTACTTAAGTATACTACAAAAGCTTACCGCCAAACTCTGACAATAGKCTAAAGTAACAGAAATAGATTTCCAGCTGATTAAACAACATAAAGTACTTGAAAACATTTGAACTGCCATTGATATTGCTACTCACATATGAAAGAAGTACTTTGATAAATGTAGCGACAATAAAATAAGAGAAAAGTAAACAGCATACTTGAAAATGTAATCACTTATTAATCATAACAATTGGAAAATACAGTTCTTAGCACTGTGGAAAAGCTTTCATTTTAGACTAAATAAAAAGAATATTATGTTCCTTGGGGTATATTAAAGTGATAAAAGTTGTAAAAGGAAAAAAATTGGAAATTTAGATGAGGTTGGCTGGCGACCAGTATTTTTATTTTCTATCAAATATCATTGTGCAATCCTTGAWGTTATCTCTAATTTATTCATAATGAAAAATCATTTGCAATGATCATGATAACTTGTTAAATTCTTATGTGTAGTAAATAGTTACATATTATTCTATAGCGACATAATTTAACTGGGTGAATATGAAGTACTTTTCACACTAACAATATTACATAGTAGTACTACATGAATTTTCAGTGATAAAATGTTTCTTTATTGATTTTATTGATATATCTAAGGTGCTTATAACCTAACATCACAAAAAAGATATTAATCACAAAATTCACTATCAATATCTCCAACAGTTATATCCACCATATATAGAGGATATTATATGGCGAGTGGAGATACAGATTTTATCTGTTGAAAAGATCTCTCACGAGTAAGCATAGCAAAAGTGAAAGTATGTAAATTATTTTTTTTAATAGTTTTTTTCTTACTTCCGCTATAKAGAGAAACTTCAAATGTGCTATTTACAAATTGAGAAATATACTAGGTATTTCATAGATATATGATGACTAGATATCATATCTTAATAGGCGTTTCTAATCTACTACATGTACTTCCAGCTGTTTAAAACTGTTACTTGCTACAATGACAAACACCTGCCAATGGCAAAGATATCTCAGAGATTTTTATAATTGCAAGAAATGAAAAAACCTACTCAAGTGCCATTGTTTAATATATAATGCCCCAAGGGAGCATTATGGTTTTACTTGACAGTTTCATAATTTGTAAAAAAATATGCATTACAAATGCAATACGTGGGGTATGTTTACTTAAAAGTAATTTCAMATGATTTTACATTCAAGCATTGAGCTATTAAGATTTATGAGATTGAAGTAAAATGTTGAATGGAAATAATTTTAAAAAATGACAAGAAAATAATTAAAGTCAAATACAAATTTGATATGAAGGGAGAAAGAATTTAATAATGGCAACGAGGGAAGAACATGGCAGAATAATGAATGGATGAATCAATGGGTCTAAGGATTGGATTAAGTATTGAATGAATGAGTCTAGAGGGATTAATGTATTTGACTGGGAAATAATTAGGAAGGAAGAAGTGAACAAAAGAAAGAACAAACRAATAAACAAACATATAAAAGAATGAATAAATGGATGAATTAATTAATTAATGAATACAGACTTTGCAAATGAATACAACATATAATATATCAYGTTTCAATCAAATTTTTAATCAAGGTGATTACGGAGACAGTTAAACACAACTGACATGAAACTAATTACTAATGCCCAGTCTTTTCCATTACTTTAGTGGAAGACTCTTTTTAAAGAGAATAAGAACTCAATTTACAGAGTCGTATAAGAGGTCACAATACGAAGACTATGTCATTGATGTATCAAAAAGCTCCAGTCTTCAAAGAGCCACTCTTCTTATAGAAAAATAGTACGATGAAAGTAATAAAATTAAAATTAAAATAAAAACTGAATTTTAGAAAAAAAAAAAAAAAAAGTATGATAAAAGTAAAAATAATTCTGATCSCTATCATGTGTTTTCATGAAACCAATCTGACCACATCTGCATTGCATGGGCCAAGAACACAGCGGTTTTCCTTAACTATATTTACAATAACAAACTTGACCATTAGTGGTTGTAATGGCAAGATAACAATTATCATTTAATAAGCTTCCTCTATTTTTATTAACTAACAAAAACACAGTCTGATTCCTGAAGATTTGTTTAATAAATGAGACTGCAGTGTGCAGATCAAACTGTTTCTTGCTTTTAAGCCCTAAATCTGATAAAAATTAACCACAAAATTATGAATATCAGACAAAACTTTTATAATATAATATCATTTTAAATGTTTTCAWGAGATTCTTGATTTGAACTATTTGTTTGTTTAACTTCTTTTTTAAGTACAATTTAAACACAAAGTAAGAATCCTGTGCAAATTGATGTGTTTGGTAAAGTTGTTTTTCAAACTAATAACAGCGTTATGTAATGAAAAGCCCTGTCTTCTATAAAACAAAAAACTGATTAAAATCATTGTTTTGCAAATTATTTCAAGAACTGTTATTTGAAATGTTTATAAGTTTGTCTGTGTTTAATTATCTTTTTTACTTAAAGTTGTCATCATTTGTAAAATCACTTTRTACATAGAAACTATCCATAACAATAATTACTGTAAGCTGGCATTTCTTTCTAAAAAATTTAAGGAAAAAATTCTACATAACAATCTTTTGTCTTTTAATCAAGTCTAATTTTTCTAAAGTTTAACTTTCATTTARGTATACTAACATTTTTACAATAAAATGATTGTGTACAATATATATGAATATCATTATGCTAATTACGCGTACGGAAATTAAAAACTAGATATCAGATATTAAGAGGCACACGCATACATATGCCTCATACACAATAAATCTCAGACCGGGTACACACAAAACTTAGCTGGACATTTTATGTAAAACATTTACACAATAAYCAACATTATCTGAATTCTATGATTCAATTTTGATAGCTTGATCTGGAGTGAGATTATCATATTCTACGGTCATTTATATTACCGATTTGGCTATTTGTAGCAAATCAGAAGTAGTCTGAAACATATTTGCCGTTATAACCCTTATTTGCTCTTGTCTTAAATATACCTGTAAATTATTAAGCTGTTATTGGTGCTCTAAGTAGAGTCCTTCTCAAGTTAAGCTTTAGATATGCAAATCTGTTTTTGCGCATAAAATGCCTGAAGCGCAATTAATAAAATACCTGAGAGTCATACAGTTTCAGATTTCCATTGTGGATAAACCAGAATTTGATGAAGACATTCTGTCTTGAATTTGTATTTGATCATACAACCAAGGAATTTGTCATTGGGAATATGACAGCCCCAGTAGACAAAAGCAAAAATGTCTCCTAACTGTTCCATTTGGATGGAGATGAAAATGGATTTTTTTCAAAAAATGATGAGTCATTTCTGATATATTGACAACTGCCCCATAGAGCAATCAAGCTTTTATCAGGGGATCAMCAGACCCTTATGGCAAAGGAATCTTCTGACGGCATATTACTATACTAACTGGTACTACTACCTTTATATATCAATCTTTGAGTGAAGCTATTGAAATAAATTAAAGCTTTTAAATTTACAATTTGTGTAGTGATACAGTTTCTGCACGCTATATATAGTACTGTATTTGTAATGTTTGGAAATATAATCCCCATGTCATATGCTACCATCACTAATTCTAGAAGTTAAAAATAGACACTTCATATGTCAAAAAACTATCATTAATACATGTAAGTGATTTGTAGCATCCTGAGGATCTCCGATAGGATATTATAAACTGTTATTATTAATAATTAATAGTTTAGTCCTACATTCTTGTAGATTTGATAAATATTCATTAGAATTTTCAACATCTGGCTTGCATTCATGTGAAGGAAACCAAAACAAATACAGTCCCAGTCATAATTACAAAGCTAATTCGCGAAGAAAAAGAAAAATCTTTCTAGCAAGAATATAAAATATAATGTTTCTCTTTTGAGGTCAAAATGGGTCGAATAAAGAATATTGTTTATGTGTAAATTCATGGATTAGCATTCTTAYGAAAACCATTACAAATAGCTTGGTGTTGTTCATGGCAAATACGATATCACACAGCTGATTTGAACACAAATACGACCATAATTAAAAATACGATTTGTAAGAAACCTCAAAAAGATGGGAATCGATCAYCGAACACCAAAATAGACCTGTTTTCCGCAAAATAACAATATTTACCTGAATATTTTAATTATTCACATCGACAAGTATACATCCATAAGTCAGAAACACAATAAATAATACTGCTGAGTTTTGAATATTTTCAGTTAATGGTATTCCATCGCTCTGTAGGAGTTAACAATTACCGAGATCCTCGTATTCAAAGGCCACTTTTCGACAAAAATTAGTAAATGCATTATTCAGGATGCACAATATCTAAGATTGACATGATATTTGGTCGGCTGTCACCAACTTCGGGCCGGTGTAAACATAGCAAAATGACCCCAGAAACGTTGATATACTATCTCAAAATAGTACTCTTGTATGTCTATCAAAATCCGTACTTCAATGGAGGTGGAAAGTTTAGAAATCAATAAATGCCTCTCAATATCCGGTCTTGACCCAGAAAAGGAAATGTTCAGGCAACTTACATAATCATGCAATGAACAAATCTTACAGTTTGATCGATCATTCTTCCATTCGATCAAGCGTTCGAATTGTTATTATTACAGAACCCTTAGGGAATTCATTCTCTMGGTAAAAATACGGAACTGGCAATTAAGGAGAGGTATAAGATAAATTCTATTTTTCAAGTATTTGGTGATATGAACCTATATATGAAAACCTGACATGATCACTAAACTGCTCGACAAATTACAAATTGATGGAGTTCACTTGCGTAGAATATTAACGAGAAACCATATTTATTCAATGGAATTTATCTTAGAATTAGCATACGATACATGTTGCTGAAGCTGAAAAAGAAACAGGATTATAAGAAGAACACAGGTCTAAAAATACAAAATAGCTTTAACTTTAATTGTCTAGGATTATAATTTTGACCCGAGACCCATAAGAGCTAATACTTTTCTGTAATCGTCCTATAGTTTTGTTTGAATAAATACAACTTACTTTTGGCCTTCTCGGGTTTTTTAGAAGAAGGTTTCCATCGCAGTGTAGTGGAGTCTTCATCAACAGAAAAAAATCTCTGATATTGTCTGGAGTTGGACCGAATCTTCATCAATTCGCATCCATTCTGGATAAACTGCAAACAGTCCGCAGCTGAAATGGAAAGAAAAAACGGCAAATAGCATCAGWGAATCATGCACAAAGTCCTTCAAAGCTCTCCTGTCAATTCCAACACGAAAATATAATAAAAACTCGCACTTTCAACTCACCGTTKATAATCTTTTTGTCTTCAGGTCGCGCGCTGAACGACACCGATTTTGACAGAGAGCGTTTCTGAGGATGGCCGTCTTTCTTTAAAACACTGGTCTTTCTGGGCAACGACATGCTCTCAAACACTTCGTCGCGCTCCTCAAAGTCATCGTTGTCTCCGTTTGAAGTAATGCCGTCGAGACCGCTCGAAAATTCCGAGGAAAAATCGGCCATTTTTACGGACAACTCTCGATCTGCCGCGAAGTCATTCTCCGGCTCCAAGGACAATTTGTTTTATCACGTGACTACCTGTTTTACCTATGTGAGGGAGGGGTAGATAAAAATGTCCCGTACTGAAGTTTTCAACCGAGATTTTAACAATTTTAGGAGTTGAAAATAGCGAAACACCTATAGTTACTTAGTTATTAGAAAGATTCTGGATGGAAATTTGTTTTCTTTTTCAGAATAYCCTACCGAGATTTTCATTGAACACAGGTGCAAAACAGTCATTATTTTTCCTGACAATTTTACTAATTTTTAGAGATCACACATCGAGCCTCACATCACACCATCATCACATCAAATTATTTTCCTAATCTTTCATAGGGCAGAATCACGGAGATTCTCGCTGAATGATTCCTGGAGAAAATTAACCTGAAAAWTGTATAATTCTGTACACAGAACGATAAAACGTCTTAGTTTGCTGATCGTGAGGGAAAGATATCGATAATGAAGTACTGACTTAGTATTGTTAAATAGTTCACAAATAAACGGATGGAACTTGATGAAAAACACGAAGCGTCAAATGAGAGCGAATGTGGGAGAATAAGTGAACATGTTGAATGGATGAGTGGCTGGGATAAATAAAAGGATCGTTCATAATAAATATYTGGAAACACTTATAGTAAATCAGCAAACGAAGATGTACAAGAAATAATTTCCATGAAAAGTGACAAAACCGGGAAGAAAAGTCGAGTTTTTCTCACTGCATTTATGGCTCAGCTCACTTCATTACCATAACATAAGCTTAATGATTGTCATGACATGGTCAAACTTGTCACATAGACTTAGTTTTAATATTTGTCTTTTTTCATTTCTTTTTGACATAGATGCATACTTCATAGTAGGGGAATTATAGTGAGGTCTACTGGTACAATGCAAATCCGGTCAAAATGATTTTTGGAAACGTATAACGATCAATGAGTCTGCATAAACTGCACGCAATCACGAAATACAAGTCCCACTTGGAAATGTATAATACATATAAGTTATCAAATATTTCACCTGTTTTCTGTGACAAGTTACATCGAAGATGCAAACACCGCCTGACAGCATATGCATTTCATCCGTCTTGAGTTCAAGATGTTCTTTCGTGCAATCCATCAACCACACTTAAAACGATGTTTTGAAGAAGAAATCAGAAGTGCATTGTAGTACGGGACACAATACTACAAAAGCTTGCTCTTTCTACCGGAAATTGGTTCCCGAAATGTGTTCATTCGATGAAAATACTAAAATATTTTAATAAAATATCTCGCTCTGCGAGGTAGTCGAAAACTTTGAATGGGATTCTTGYAATGTCGACCAATCAGATGTCGAGAATTGATGTCAATCACCGAAAAAAAACGACGCGCGCGTGTGCGCTCAGAACCCGCGCAAACGATGATTTCGGTAAAAATAACAATACATGTGTAAACACAGCTTAATTAACCTGAATTAATAGCTATGCAAAGATGTTTGACCACGCCGACCCGAACGGTTTTTTTTTAATACCACGCTAGTCTTCTGGCTCTCAAAAAGGAGATGTCTTTTCAAAACTTAAAGTATAATCGGAACTTACTTTTCCGCTCAAATGTTACATAATGATGTGATACGCTCCAATGCTTCGGATGAAGTCGTACATGAACTACTATAAACTATTATTGAAGTGCAATGATTGTATCAGTCACAATTAAAAGCGTTTTTGTTTTTGTTGCTGCTTTTTTTCCATCTTTTTTGTTTGGTTCTTTTTCCAGGAACTTTAAAATCATTAATGCATCGTTGGTCATGTGTTGGAAATGTACATGTTGCACGAAGGAATGTACACTTGTCGCTGCGCATTGCCTTCGTAATTCACAAGACACAACAATCAGCAAAACCGTGAATTTACAGCGACAAAACTTTTGTTTTCGCAGTTGATATCAATTGAAAAAGACAAAACTTAACTGTTATAGTACTAACATAATCTTGGTAGAGAAGAAAAGACGATTTTCTTTCCTTTCRAAGGGAATTAAGCGGTAGTTTCGTTACAAATTGAGCTCTGCTTTCATTGAAATCCAAGTTAAATCAACCGTTTTGMACAAAGAAATGACCTCTAAAGAAAAGATGTCGTCAGATAGYAGCGSCGAGARCTCTGTCGACATTGAGAGGCTTTGGCATATTTGGAATATGAATGGTCCTGACTTATCATTGTCCTGCGAGATTTGCGCYTTGCTGAAGGATAACAATTGTCACTATGAGTTGGACGTCTTCTTGAGAAATCTCCCTACAGAGGACRAATACTTGAAAGATGAAACTTTGAACAGGGCACGCATCTACGCAGCTTTTTGGAAAAAAGACTTTGAGGCAGTATACAGTCTGATTGAGGTAAGAAGAACAAAATTRTAAGCTAATTAATTGTTAAACTTTGTTTTAAAAGTTGCGTTTCATTTCAGGAGAATACATATAGCAATGGCGAGGACCTTATAGATGTATGGGACCTGTCTCACTATTATGAAGAAGAAATAAAGAAGAAAAAACCCTTAACACCTTTAGCTAGGTTTCGTATAAGACAAAGGTACTGGCACCAAACTCGGCACGACGTTATAACAAATTTTATTCAAACTTGTGCGCGCTTTTGAAAAGTAGTTTCATGCAATATTATATTGGACTCCTTACAAATGAAGAGTATTTCTAAACTTAACTTCTCAATGGGCAATTAGATGGCTTTAATCAAAGAAATTTTGAGGTGTGAAGAAAGACGCCGCGTACGTTTGAGGACGAAACATTGTGCAACATTCAGGGTGAAGATCCTTCGCCYTGGCTACATTGATGCACATGCCCGCCAGTACTAATTACAAGATGAAAGTTTTGAATTGGATATTTTCAGGAAAACATATTTATTAATTGATTTCTTCATATGAGCATATATTTAGTAACTTAAMAACAAGCATTGCTCGTATTAGTATTTATTTCTGATTTTAATCATCAGTATCGTCACCATCACCATTGCATGTATATATTATTCCAATGGAATTCTTCCTACAACAGGAATTTACCTCCAAARAGCATTCTCCCATCCGGTAAGAGAAAAACTACAACGCTTCCACAAGACTCCAAGCAGCTCTTACAAACATGGCTCAATGAAAACACACACTATCCCTACCCCTCACGGGAGCATAAAGAAATGCTAGCAGAAAATACTGGTTTATCGATATTCCAGGTAGTGTAGTTTAAATTATATAATGTTACCAGCGTTTATGATATTAGAAGTCCGTGAAACACAAACTCAAATCATGTTAACTCCTTTGCTTTCTATCGTAAAATCGCTATTTGCCATGGTTTCACGCATTTAGTGCGAGATTTCAATTAGATGCAGAAATTAGCATTATTTGCCATATTTTGCACTAATTGTGTTTCACGGACTTAGAGCATGAACTATACATGTATCCAGATGACTTCACGTGATCGTTGTAGGTAAGCACGTGGTTTGCCAACGCYCGACGCAAACTTTACCACAACCTGCGTAACGAAAGCCGCAAGAAAAGACAAACGAAATCGCCACAAAAAAATAGACAAAAACGAGGAAGGAAGGCTTATAGCGAATGTAGCTTAAAAACTGAGCCTGAACTAGAATGTGATTTGTAAGTATTTTTTTTGTGCTGCTTTATTGCTATTTTATCAATCAATACGCCATCCATTATTTCTTTATATCAGCCTTTCCATATCCATCATTCCTTTATATCAGTTACGAACTCTCATTTATTGATTTATCCACTCAATTATCAATTTTTATTATACAATGTCAATCTAATCCGTATATTATTGTGCACTTCAATTTTCAGGTCAGCGGATCATCCCAGAGGTATYAGATGGTATCCTAGCAACCAATTAAGTCCCCAGTTTAGTTGCTATAGCGCCACTAATACAACATTGCCTACACTAATGGACAGAGTAAACCATTGTAAGTTAACTCAATTATATCAAGAACACTGGCTTTGTCGTTTATCTGTAGATTGGGATTCCTGTGTAGACTAGAGCTTTAGCACAGGGAACCCGAGCAGCGACAATGATATATCATTGTTCTGTATTTAAGGCCTACTTGTATCGAAGAACATTTGAGGCCGTTTCTTTTGTTTTAAAAACGATCTATTGTTGAAAGTTATTTTTTGATTGCCATAAACTTTACAARTGTAAATCACTCCAACATAATGATTTTCGTACGTACAGGCCMGGGACTACCAAGAATAGTGAAAACTAGTTTCGTTTATTAAAACCTCTTCAGTTCACTATATGTTTTACTATTCTTGGTAGTCCCTGGCCTGTACGTACGAAAATCATTATGTTGGAGTGATTTACATTTGTAAAGTTTATAGCTTTTACAAGATTTTTTGAAGTCTCGGCGAAAGCTATTTGTCAAAGATTTTTTGATTGCTTCAATATCTAATATGGCGATTTTTCGTATGTGAGAACTCATCGCGCAAAGGCTCTCGGATACTCGTGGTCCTTTAACTGAGATCATCACTTGTGATTATATTTTGAAAAGAAATGATCACATAAAGCTAAGAGTGTCGATTTAATGCATGTGTTGCAGGTATGACCATGCCATACAATTGCTACAACGCCGCAGCCGGCGAGGATTGGATTTCACAATATTCTGATGACCAGAACATGGCTTCACCGTAAGACATTCAATGCATGACTGCTGTGGTTGTCTTTGTTGACATTTACTTATGTAGAGCGGATTTCGCACAGTTACCGCACAGTTACCGGACCTGGCCTGCACAATTTTGGTGAACCAATGGGGCACTAGAACTTGGTTACAGTACGATTACGGTCACAGTACAGTACCGTCTGTTTCCCACTCATACGAAATCCGCTCAAGTTGCATTCAGTTTTTGTTGTGATTGTTTTTGTTAGTGATGTTGTTGAAGTTGTTGTTGTTGATTTTGTTGTTGATAAAGCTGTTGTTGTTGTTGCTGCTGTTGTTATGGTTGCTCACTGGAAAAAATCGCGCTGTAAATATGATGTAAAAACGATGTAAAAACGATGTAAATTTGATGTAAGTGATATTTACAACATTTTGGACACTTACAGAATATTTACATCGTTTTTACATCGTTTTTACAAACGTTGTAAATTTAATGGAAATATGATGAAAATCAAACGATGTAAATATCGCGTAAATCCAAATTTACACGATATTTACATCATTTTGGACAGTTACACGATATTTACAACCTTTGTAAATATAGTGTAAATCAAATTTACATACTTTTTCCATTATATTTACAACCTTCGAGGAGCTCGATTTTTTCCAGTGGCTGCTGTAGGGGTTGTTACATATTCCCCCTTAGTCATTTATTGTATAGACCCCTTGCAGTTCATGGGAATGCAGCTCCAACTGGAGGACAAAACAATAGATTCTAGTTCCCAAGAGGATAAAAATCTTTTGTTTTGTCCTCCAGATGAAGCTGTTTTGACGTCACATGCAAGGGGTCTATTCCCTGGCACTGTGTCCAGCGTCCAAGAAAACTATTTCTTGCCTTTATTGAGTATCATTGTAACAATCGTACCCCCAAGGCTAAATGTGATTTATTGATTGTATATATAGATGTATGGTGCCTAAGGAAACTAGTGCATCAGCTCACAGCATGAGGTACAGCAACACTGATTATTTCCATCCGGGATATGACTTAGAAGAGCTTAATCATCAAGAATCAACCAATGATGATGCAGCAAAGATTCTAATCRACTTGTCAAACACGTTTCTCAAGTAAAACCCGTTTATCTGGTTTATCTGGTTTTTGAAACTACTAGAAAAGTACTGCAGCTATACTGGCTTGTTGCTTTACCTAACCTGAGCGTACTGGTTAGTTAGTCCGGATATATAGTGTGTGCATATTGTGAGCACATTCTAATGTTTTATTTATTACATTTAAGAGTAATTTTCTCAAGTTACTTTCACTTTTCCCGTAATTTCAAACCWTCGGCTATTGCTTGTCCACTCTTCTAGTCCGTGTATCAATGCTTTTCCATTGCATTTTTGTAACTCCATTGAACAAGTTAATGTTCTTGTCATTAATARATATTAAATAAAAATTAAATGGCGCTCTACTTGTCATTTGGTTTTAGGTTCTTTGGTTTATATAGTTACTTAYGATTTCAAGCGAATGAAACGTAAACGTAAACWCGAATGAAACGAGAAAKAAATAAATGAACTTAAATTTTCACATATTTCCCTGGCATTTCAGGAGCCCATGGGCTCTTGGCATTTAGAACTCGGGGATTCCAAGAAATCTTGGTCGTAAAGTGAAAATGGTCTGGATCGAGGTATAGAAAGGTCTGGGTACGAGAATACCAAACCCCCATAATTCCTATCGGTCTCGCATTGACCATTTCGTAATGATCAACGGTACATCAYAAAGCTGTATCGAGTTACACTGAATTCTCTTGAGCACTRCCTCTAAGCTGRCTGTTTGACGTTTTTGAGCTGTCAACCACTGGTTTAGTCTTCATAGTGCTGTCAATCAAGTCCACAGGCGGCCTAACAGTACTGTTCATCACTGACTCTATCGGCTCTACCCGACGTTTCCCACAATACATTAGTCTCTTCAGGTGCTTCCTGAATCGTTCATTTTGAAAACTATAGATAATAGGATTAACAGCAGAGTTGACAGTTACCATAGCAACAGAAATGACGTATGTAAGGTCACCAAACGAGTTGCTAGGGCTGATGTAGCTAAGGAGATACATTGTGAGCTGAGGAAACCAACAAATCGCGTAAATAACGCTAACAATGATGACCATTTTCGTAACCTTCTTGCGTACACGTTTAACCGCATGTCGTTCCGCACCGTCATCCTTACGTAACCATAAGTTGTATACAATACGTGCGTACAATATGACCATTATTAGAACTGGTACAATTCCCACTACGATAAACCAAGCKGTAGAATTRAYACGTGCGTAAACGTTTCTTGGCCACGTTTCAATGCARAATTTTCTSTCAGAATCGTAATGCACGACGAAAAACAACGGGAAATTAAACGCTACGGAAAACGCCCAACACGTAACGATTGTAATRCGCAACGTTCGTGGACTTATGTTTCCTTGTTTATGCGGATGCATCACTGCGTAGTAGCGCTCACAYGCAATRGAGACCAACGCGAAAACGCTAGAAACTCCACCRATCCATGATATATTACCACCTGTTATGAACTTACAYARRAAATCTCCCTCAGTACCGGTAGGGTGGGTAAAAGTATAGATAAAGATGTACTGTGGGCTGATGAAAATTACTGTCAAAAGATCGGCTAAAGCTAAGTTTAAAAGTAGGAAATTCATAGCAGATTTCATATCTCGGTACCGCACTATGATAAAACTGACCAAAATATTACCAACCACTCCAACCATTACCAGGAAAGAGAACGTTATTGCCAGGGCAATGTCAGTTGGTGTCATGGTGCTTTATAATTGCCTGACTGATGATTGTATCTGAAAATGAGGAAAGGTTGATTAAAGCCGGCAGGGACTGTGATAAAGAGATAAAGGATATTACATGGTTGCATGGAAATACGAATTTCATTTTCAAGTGAGTAGTATTAGCTGCATAGTTGGGGCCGGATTTTTTGTGGGATTTGTGGAAAAAATCTGTGTGCTCATGAATATTTGTGGGTTAATATATTCAATATTTTTGTGGGCTATTACATATTCATTTTTGTGTGCCTTTCACTTAATCCCCGAACAATAGTCCTTTTGTTCTCTATTGTTTCGCCTAAGCGNTTTGGAATTGTCCCACATCAGAGAAATCTGTTGCTTCATGATTATTAGACCCATATAGATAATTCTATTTGATTTCCAAGTCTTTTCTAATGTTTCGAAATTTTCGTCCAAGTAGCCCTTTAATAATATATATAAAACTAACAAACTAACTAACTATAACATAATAATATATAAACTAGCCAAGAAATACGAGAACCAAAAAACCTCAATCTCGCAAGATTTTTGATGTTCAAGTTTAGCTTCAACGTCTTTTCTAGTTTTTTAAAGTCTGTATTTTGTTGCGCAATAACTTGGTAGTGCTTATTCACCGTGTAAAACATGAAACTCCAATCTTGAGACAAGTTGAAGTTTGTTTTTTTTTCACGTATTTCTTACCCTTTACCAATTGAGAAATTGAACATCCGCACAAAAAAACTGGGATACCAACTTGGGTTTGTAACACCAACAGTGGATTCCTTCGTGCGACTAAACTTGTGGAGGGACTAAAGAAAGAGAATTCGCTTATGCTTGGAAGATGTTAAAAACAGAGGTGTTTTCCAAGCCAGATGTTCCCGTAATGAAATTATTGGTGCTCGTAAAAGAATCGGACTTGTTCGTAACATAATTTGAGGTGTTCGTAATAACTTCGGAGGTATTCGTAATAGCATCGGAAGTGTTTGAAGTTAAATCACAGGAAGTTTGAAAGTCAATTTTGACTTTATTTTATCAAATGCAATCAATCCAAAGGATTGTTTTTAAAATCGCTTTTGAAGAAAATACGGAAATTATGTTGCAAACTTGAATTTGATTTGGAGATCTACAAAATTCTTTGCTTTTAATACTTATTAAAAGAAATTCAATATCCTCAAGTTATATCAAAACAAACTAAAGCTAAAAACAACTTAAAATAAAACACTCAACAAGTAATACTAATTTAGCATATTGACATTTGTGGGAACTCTTAGACATTCAGCTGAGTACAAGTGATCGTGCTAAGCATATTGTATTAACGCGCGCTTTTATCGCAAAAGAAAATACCAATATTATTATTACAATACAATCCATGCACTTTTTCACTCTTTATGTAATTGTACATCTTTTGCGTCCCGTCGCGAGTCGAGATTACTGCGTCTCATGTCGGCGGTTTTCACATTATTMTCAATTTCCTTMACAACAAAAAGMGCAGTGGATGAAAATGAAATACGCGCGATAAAATTGAAATCATATAATCCTACTTTTATGAGTTAATAAATTTTATCGTATCTAAGTGTGTATTAATTATAAGTTAGGTCGAAAAAGGGACATTTCGCACGATGTTGTCAGAMTGAATGACGCAACAACTTTTTTCATGGTTGTTTTTCCTTCATTTTGATCATTTTATCTAAAAATTCTTGAGCTGATTAAAGTATTCCCTTAAATATGGTTTGGATTCTTTTTTTTAACTGCAGTTTTTGCAGTTGGTTCGTCATTTAAAATTTCAGTGGCGAAAATTGCCGAAAAGCTCAGCTGTCGCGTGTGACTTTAAATGTTATTACAATTGTAATCCTGTGCTCAGAGTTGCGAAGCTAATGACATAAGAATCATTAACTATATCTGCTTCAAGATACTTATCACCAGTCGTGTTGAATTTTATCTTCRTTAAGATATATTACAATTTTATCAACGGTCTCTTTGATCGTGTAAAGATTGTGCCAAATTGATATTAGGAATGGATCTAAACTTTSACACATTGATTTATAATATATTATCTTAATTGTAAATAAATTTAAAAGTTGCTAGAAAACAAGAAATAAGGTGCATACTTTATTGATAAAGGAAAAATACTGAACACTCTGGATAAAAAACGGGGCCATTTTTACTCATTTGAGCCCTGGCAGTAAAGTAAGTTCCAGAAAGATCTACAACGCATAGTCCTGGATATCGATTTCACAAACAGAAACAAACAATTATTTTATCATTTTTGAAAAACTGTCGCTAAAATATTTAGAAAGATTTGACAGTTCCACTAATAGCTTCATTTCCTAAGGGTAGAAAGTATTTAAAAAAACGTGAATCAACCTTTGTTGGCCACTGATATGTGCAGTCTTCGTTGCGTTTTTGTGTTTGAGCGAAGTTATTGCGCTGTCCGTTAGTCAAGGGAAGAAAAAAGAGTATATCGGAGCTGCGCGCTAACTATCAATGTTGAAGAGAACTTATAACTACTCAATATTGACTTATATACCACATTGTGCAATTTGCATCATTTTGGTATTCTCACATGGCCGATGAATGAAACTTCACGACAAGATAGTTTCTCTTTAATTTAGAGTTAAAGAAATATTATTTTGTGATTTAAACGAAATTTCATTAAGAAGAACGTGCAATACAAAATAGCACCTTTTTTGAAGAATTGAGTCGACCAATCAACCTTTTTTCTTTTAATTTTAACTTTTCTTTTTATGTTTTCGACGAATGGGTCCAAAGGAGACGTTTTAGAATCGAATTTTCTCGATGAYTAAAAGAGAAATAAACTCATTTCAAAGACTTATTAATTAAAAGCAAGTGAACTCTTCTACTAATGTTTACATTGCTTTAAGCCTCTATTTAATCTTTTCGACACAGATTATTGATTAATGCAGCGAACTGAGAAAGTTTTTCTTCAATTAGTCCAAACAGACCCTTAGACAACTCAAGAAAAATGAACTGCAAACAACTTCATTACGATGTGTTTTCCTTTCTGAGTCAAGTACACTCACACGTGAGAGATTTTTCCAACACTCGAAGATAAAATCCATATCATCACGCTCTCATGCAATATCCTATATATATATGACATTATCAAAAGTATTATTATGTAGATTTGTTCATATTTCTGTTAGTTTTTTTATTRTTTTTCTCCAATATGTATTACTAGAAGAACATGACACTATAGCGTTTTCTTGCCTATTGAAGGCGTTGTTCCCACAGGCTTCATAAAGGTTTGCAACACATTATACAGACCGGTACATTTCTACTAACTCAGACAAGCCTTGACAAGCCTCAAGTGGAGACATCTTTGCATTGAAAATTTGTCGTATTCGTTTTGTTTCTTCAAATTTGATAATTGTACCAAGTCATTTACATTACAATTAAGCTCCCTTGTAATTTACTCAGCTTTATTTTTTCGGTTTTTCAAATAATCATGAACTCTCTAAGAACAAAAATACAATAAAATTCATTTATATGAAGTAATATGTGATCTTCAATAGCGTCGCTTCTGTATTTWTTTCCATATCTTTTTTCAATTTTTCGGATAGTGCTTGATTCATAGAAAAAGTTTTGCTATCGTCTTCAACACTGCAATTGTACAAGATGAGGTTTTTAGAGWGTCTTATCATGGCGTTCATTTAGAAATTGTTTGCATCCAATGCCATAAACACGAACAGCACGTCAAAAGAGTGCGGAAATCTTACCCTGCTCCTTTCGATTCACGATATTTTCTTTCTTTCTTCTCAGACGTGACCGATAGTAAACACATTTAACAATGAGATCATATTTTGACTATCGACAGTTGCAATAAATACGAGACTATTTTTCTTTTTCTTTTTCTTTTTTTTTTTCTACTTACCTTTGTTCCCTTAGGCCGCTTCAATGAATTGCAAATGTGAATTTACACTTTATCACTGTGATAGAAATCAGTTTTGAATTCCAAAATTGAACGAGTTTTCCGATTCACTGCTGCCACTAGTTTACAATCTTCAGATCCAAAACAAAAACAGTTGTTCATTTCTTTTCCGTTGGATGGAAGTCCACCCACTGGGGCTCTTGAAATCCCACTTCAAATTAAGAGAGATTGCTTTGTGTTTGTGTTCCTTACGAGCGCAGTAGACTGCACCACAATGATAGCTTATATTGACCCTAACACCTTCGTCACAGCAATAARACTGAACTCCTATCAAACATTATGCATACTTAATGATCAAATATCAAGCATTTTACCATAATAAGGTAGAAATAGGATTGGAGAGATCTTACTGGAGGAGAAACAGTTTTAAGCTTTAATGAATTATCTCAACAACAAGTTTTGATGTCCGTTTTAGATCCTGAGGGGATAAAGAACGCTGTGTTGATGAAAAATTCACATTATGTATTTATGTGTGGTGTAATATAATTAATAAAACGAGGTTTTCAGCGTTTGAGGGCAAGAGCACAAATTAGATTAACAATGTTAGTTCTCTTTCAATTATAACGTTAGTAATGGAAAATGGACAATTTCTGCGACACGGAAGGATTTGAGATTTGTCATCTTAATCTAGTCGAGAGCATTATATGATTCTAAAAACTGGAAGATTAGTATGCTAGACAGAAATACTTAAATGTTCTGGATTATAAGCTGTAGAGAATTATATGGTAGATTAGATTTCTAATTGCGGGCTGCCACATCTTTTCGTTCATCCACTCCAAATGATCGAAAGGCATTGTGGGATTAATAACTGTCTGAAATCAATGTGAGAACTTGCCAGAAGGGAAATCTTCAAACTCGAGTATTATTTTTTGCATTATTCTTGCCATATCTAACGATCGATCCAGGTTTGACTAGCTATCCCCAAATCATCATCCCCCTATATATACAACGACGCAAGTTTTTGACGTTTTGACAACTTAAAGAGTAAAATAATGTGAAAAACTGCAAGAACTGGGTTTCCCATCATCTTGCTTCAGAAAATGGTGTGAGTGGAAAGTGATATATATAAAAAAGTAACTTTTGTTTGAAGCTGAAAAAGCTTTATTTTGAGAAGAAAGACAAAACGTTTTGTGGTGCAAATTCTTCAGACCTCTAGTGTATCATTAATTATATAGTTTGTTATGTATAACATTTGGAGAAAGCTGAGCAAAAGTGCAAATTAACCAGTACATAACGACAATTAATTGTAGCAACTGGAACTGTTTAAATGAACTGGTGCTGAAAAAATCCATACATGAATGAGTAGATTTTTAAAAAATTGGTGTGTTAAACAGGTTTTTCTTGTTTTAAAAACGGGTTTGCCTGTCAACTGGAGWACCTGTGCTTTCTTGCAAATAAAAACCAGTTTAACCAGTTTATCCTGATGTGACGTACAARCTTCTTGAAGCTTAAAACCTGTTTAGCCTGTTTATCAATGGAAAAGTAATTCAAAGTGATTTGGAAACGATAACATAATGTTTCAAAATTAGTTTTTGTGCCAATTGAGTGCAAAGTTTAGAGTAAAACAAGGAATCCATGCCTTTTTACTTCCTAGCTTGCCTAGTTTTTGCATTTTGTTTATTAGTACGGCCAGGATATTTGTAAGAGCAAGCCAGTAAGCAGACGAACACGGTCATCACCATCTTAGCATTACACTCAACCAAGTCCTCTGGAAGAGCATATATCTGGGCACCAATCTTCCTGGCCAGAGACAACGCATACCTGGCATTTTGCATCTTCTCCTGAAAACAAAAGCGCAGTATAACGTAATCTTGTCATTATCAAGTCATGAAGTAATACTTATTTTGAGACGTTAAGACTCAAACGTTCATTCCCTTCCACCATCCATCCCGCAATCATCCATCCTTTAAACCATCCATCCCTTAAACCATCCATCCATTCAATCATCCATCCCTTCAATCATCCATCCCTTCAATCATCCATCCCTTCAACCATCCATCCCTTAAACCGTCCATCCATTCAACCATCCATCTCTTCAATTATTGTTCAGTTGCACTACGCAACATATAATCTACACTTTTCCGATTCGATTAATTATCTTGCAAGAAAGCCAGGCCGAAGAAGTGGCAAATAACCATCGGTTGTCATATCCATATTGCTTTCATTAAAGAAGTGCCGCGCGAAAATGACTGTTTCGCTTAAAATTTGAGCACGAAAATATTTATGAGTGAACGTTTCTTATGTCAAATGTTCCAGTGTAACATTATTATTTACCTTGTCGTTTGCTCCAAAATAGACAAGCTTGTAATCAACTGTTCTTTCTTTGATGCAATCAATAAGATCGATCACTGGTCGACTGGACGCAATAACGGAGTCTTTGAAGTCTTTAATGGTACTTGTCTTACCAAACTCCTTGAGCTAGAATACAATATTCTCAGTTTTTTATCTTAATTACTTCAGTTTCTACGGGGACAAACGGGAGTTAGAATTATTCAAAACCAGCAATGCTTTCATATTAGATAAAAATGAGCCTACTTTCCATTGTAAACATTTTTCTGTGCTTTTCTTCTGCGTTRCTGTAGGTCTATGGTTATAGGTGCGGGGAGAATAGGCGATTTCCGACTTGTGCTATTGTAAACCATGGTTGCGAGGCGCTTTCAAAAAAAACTACAGTCGCTTGGGGAGTCCGAAGCTCATTTATATCATGTATCATGCGCGCGCTTGCGATATTTTAAAAGCATTCGCACATCTTGTAAACTTGTCCATTACGACCACAGTGACCACCAGAAACGCAAGCTTCTCTTACCTTATCATTGACCATTTTTATAATCTTGCCATCAGTTATGACCTCGCCTTCTCCYTCAGACTCGAGTTGCAAAAGGATAGACAAGGTGTAGGCTTTCATCATTTGCCCAAGAAGACCTGAATATACAAAGTGATGCTCATAACGTCGTCGCCTTGGGGAGGGAGGGGAGGTTGGRGACTTTATAAACTAGATAATGGATATATTAATTTTCTCTCAGTCTATACAGATGAAGACGACAACTTCCCGTGAGGGGGAGGGGAGGTGTAAACATACCTAGAGTTAACTTATGTTTTCCTTCATTTATGTCTTGTCCTTGGACGCCAACAAGACTAAAGCCRAAAGGCTGATTTACTGCAATCTCCACAGCGTAGTTGCAGTTTGCAATCTTATTCATRTTGCCACCACGYGGTTTTGCACAGTCTTTTCTAGAGGCGACCCTTGACCAGTCCACAATGCCTGGATGGATTCGGTCATACAGCTAAACAAAACAGGCCTTGAGTCAATGTAGGCAAACCTTAATGAATGGAAGGATGGGTGGATGGGTGGATGGGTGGAGGGTTGAATGAATAAAAGGATGGAAGAATGGGTGGATGAATAAATAAACAAACGAGAAGATGGAAAACAAATGAATGGATATAAAGGGAAGATGAACGAGATTAAAGGTGGAGTAATTGATTAATTCCTAGGGGCACAAAACGATCGAATCATATCCCTTAAAAGGACAAAACCTTCTGGTTTTTTTGGGTTTAATTTAGTCGACGAAGCTCAAAGATGTTTCCCCAATCTCAATCCCAGGCCCTTATCCCTTCGCCTGGGGGCTGGGAACGAGGTTGATGTTTTACCTGCATAAGAATATGACCATCCTGGAGATCATTGTAAATCCAATTGACAAATGGGTTGGCGCCGAGACTGTTCATCCAGTTACGATACGCTAAAACATTCATATCAGATGAACTATGTCAGGCAAATTAGAGATTATCAGTTACAGGAACAGATCAAGGGGTTTTTCCCATGGGATTACACCATTAGGAGGAAGTCCTGCATCCACCAAGCTGGACCGTTGACAGGGGGGAATTTAGAGGACTTGGGGTTTGGTTGCCTGTGCACCCA